TTTTCTAAATATCTTAAAATTGTTTTGAGTTTCAATTTTTTTTGCAAATGAAACTTTATTATTATATTTATTTTCTTATACATTTCTTCGAACTTATATAATTAATACGTATTTATTTATTTTACAAAAAAAAACATTAATTTTAATTGCTTTATCATTTTATCAAAATTTATTTTAGAAACAATTATTTTTCAGGTCGATTAATATAAAACTAAATTTGTTTTATTAACAAGTTGAATACAAATATTTTAAGTCATTAAATAAAAGTAATCTAAGTATCAAAAATGCAAAATTTAATATTTCTGGTAGATATCAAATATTATCCATAAATTAATTGATAATTTTATGCCATATTTATTTTGTAGTAATTTAGTTGAAAACATGGTAAAGTTATAGATAAAATTGAAAATGTAGCAATAGCTAGTACAATTATTTAAGGTACAAAAAGTGTTTATGTAGATAAAAATGGTTCAACTATAAATTCAGGATTTTTAACCAAGTTTCAAGGTGGAGAATATTTTATTGTTGTAGGTAATTTATCGAATTTCGGCTCAGATTTAAAAAAAAAAAATTATATCTTGTTTACAAAGGTAAATTTGAAATATATTCTTTACGAAAACGGAAAATACAGATGATGATGCTCTACTAAAAACTAAAAATAGTACTATTGGAAGAATGAAAAAATTATTATTAATACATTTTTAATTAAAATATCATTTGTACAGCATAACGAAATTTGTATTAAGTCATATAATTGATAAATAAGTTAACATCATTATCTCAAAACAAAAGGGTTTTTTTTTTAAATCGTGGCAATATATTGAAGAAAGAAATATAAAAGGAAAAAGTAGAGCACTAAATTTATCGAATCAATATTAAAATGTTAACACTCCATTTTTTTGCTACTATAGTATTTTAAATAAGTAAACTAAACACTCAAAATCATAATTCTAAAAAATTTGATCATTGTAATTTGAACAGTTTTTGGATTAAACTAAATGAAAAAAAGTATTCCAAAGATAATCAAAACCTGAATTTTAAACTGAAAAGTATTATGAAGCTTATGAGAGTTAGATGAAGTATAAAAACATTTATTATAAAATACAACAATAACTTCCATTGATGTATAATAATATTTAACACAATTTACATGTCTTAAATCAATATTTTTTATTAATATTTATAGAAAAACAAAAAATATTTCTATATCTGGTAAAAAAGTTATTTTACCTGTTGAATTTTATCAAGATTTACCAACTAATATATTTTTTTTTATTTGCTTAATTTGAAATGCATAATTTATATTTAATAATGAAAAAGGTTCAATTGAAATCTATTATTGATTAAAAATGATGGGTTTTGTTTTCAGTAAATATATTTTTATTAAAAAATATTTTAATAGTTATTATATTTTTTCGATTAGATCAATATAAACAATAAAAATCTTTATCAAAACTAACAATATCACTTATGTAATCGTGGATACTTGTTTTTATAATTTTATTTTTATTTTATTTTTTTATTTTTAGTAGTCTATATATAATTATAAGAGTTTTTATTGAAGGTTCTTTGGAATTGTATTTGAATACAAACAAAACTTCCTCTTCACGATGGGTAATTTTATTACCAATTGAAATAGATTTTTCAATTATATTACAATGTAATTCAAATATATCATTATTATTATTTAATATTATTTATTTTTATTTTACCTAAAATTTAAATTAAAAAAAAAAAAAATCAACATGATTAACAATACCTAAACTTAATTTTAAATTTTGATCAAATAAATAATACTTTTTTGTCATAACTGAATAAAAATTATTAGTATTTTCTATTTTTATATTCGATTTTAATAAACTATTTAATTGTTTAATTAAATAAATTACCTTTTAATAGTATTATTTTCATTATAAACAATACATATAATATTTTTTACTCAATCTTGCAAATAAAAATTTAGTTTATTTGATCCTATTACTAAATATTTAATATCTAGTCCATTTTCACTTAATTTAGGCAATATATTTTTTATAGGTTTTAAATCTCCAATATAATTAAATTCTAAATAACTTGATAAATATTCATCATAATATAATATTATAATATATATTATATTAGTTGATAATTAATCAACTAATACAAAATTCATTTTAGGAAAATCATAATTAGTTAAAAGTGTTTTAAATTTTTTATTTCCATTATTTATAATAGAAAAATACTTTGTTTTTATTTAAACCAATAATGATTTATTTTAAAATTAAGCGAAATATTAAAAAAAAAATAAAAAAAATATTATTTTTGATTAGTAGTGGTTTATTAATATAAAAATCTATATATTCTTTTGGTAATAAATTTATATATCCTTCAGGTAAAACTAATTTATAATCACTATCTAATATGATTGATACATCTTAAATTTTTTCAATGTTGAATCTAGTTATATAGTTTCTCTTTTTTTGAGTCGAATAATTTTACAAGTTTTTAATTAATATGGTTTTTATTTAAAAGTATTTTCAAATTTCCCATCTCTATTATTTCTATTAAAAAATATAAACATTTTTATAATAAATATTAAAACAAATTAGACAACACAATACCACATACATACACAACAGTATAATATTGACATTAAATATCAATGTATTAACATTTATAGATGTTTTTAGATGTTGCATTAAACATCAAATACCGATTTTTACGTGTTTATGTTTACAATTACACGGAAAAATGTTTGTGTTTAGATGTTTATTTTTTCATATTAAAATTGTTGGTCTATAATATTTAGATAAATATTTTTTTTGTTTAATATAATTATTTAATGATTAATCAAATTGTTTATGAAGTAAGTTTTGCGTGAACTATTCACGATAGTTTATGGTACAAAATAATTATTATTTTCTTAATTTTATTTTTGTGATCTTTTGTGAAGTAAAAAAGTGTTACACTAGAAACGGCGTAATTAATTTAATTATATATATTATATATCCTACTTATTTTATACTACACTATAAAGCATTGTTATATTTTATATTATTTTTAATATATGCTATAAAAATATGCCCAATGAAAAAGAAAATTTATGTCAAACCAACAATCAGATAAAATTATAAAACGAAACACGTGTAAACAAAAATACATAAATTTAATTTGATAACTTATTTGATATTTAAGTGTTGCCTTATTATGATTGAAAGTAATTTATTATTATTACCATTTATAAAACGTATTTCCGTATACATATGTTTGTCTGAGTGTATTATTATAAAAACCATTTAATAAATTCAAAGAAAAATTTTAAGAAACTAAAGAACATGATAAAAAAATCAAAAAAAAAGAGGGATATTAATAATTTTTAAAGCTACAAAATTTTTTGATGATAGCTTATAAAAAACATTCTACTGAAAGTATAAAGATTATTAAAGACTACTTGAGTATTTTTATCATCATAATATTTATATACAAACTAGAGTAAACTTTTTCCAAATAGATAAATCAAATGTACGGTGAACTTGAGGTTTAATAATATTGTATATTTTCATAAGTTATGTAAATTTTTTTTTTTATAGTCCACACGATTCTACGTTTTTTTATTATACAAAATTTATTATTTCTATATTAATTAAACAATACATAGGTATCTACTCAATATGTAAACTTTATTTTGTTTCTTTATAATTTTAATTTAAATACTTTACTTTGTAATCTCAGTTATAATATTATATGGTTTTACAATATACCTTTAAAAAATAAATTGATAACAGACAAAAACTAAAATATAGCACACAATCCATCTATAACTATTAATAACGAACAGAAAGAAACTATTAAGTTAAGTGAAGTTTAATAACAAAGCGATTTAATTATTAAATTAATACTTATTGCATAAAATTTGAACTATAATTTTAATAAATACGAAAGTACGAATAATATAGTATACAGATTTAAGCTGTTTTTGAAAAGAATAAACTAAAAAAGGTTTAAAATAAGTTAAACATAAATAAGTTTAAAATTAAAATTGTTTTCATTGTTTTACTATTCAAACATATTACGTAAATACAGGTTTTATGCTTTTAAGAAACTTGCATGTTTATTATTTGTACTAAGATAAATACTTAACCTTCCATAATAGTAAGTAAAATAGTTAATTTTTGAAGATTATAAATTTATATAATTTAAATTTTTAAAAAATTTTCAAGGTATTTACATAAAATTGCGTTTCATTTTAAATTAAAATTTTTAAAACTACATTTTATATTATTATAGATAGAACCATTAACGCCAACAATTTTTAAATCATAATCTATGTATAAATTATTTCTCAGTATGGTACACAATATAAACTAAAATAGAAAATTGTAAAACTCAGAGTTAAGAATAAGAATTAAAATTAATTATTCCAAATTCTTAAGTTCGCAACATTTTGAATTATATGAAGCACCCAAATATTATTTTGATTTTTGGTGAAATATTAATTTAATTGGTACAATATAAATCAATTTTTTTATTTATTAACAGTTTTGTATTTAACAGTGAAGCTGATTTTTAATTTTACCTATTTAATTTTACTATAATTTCTTACAGTAAAATCTGTGTAGTAAATAAGTTTTTAAATTTAAAAAAATGTAAATTGTATACACCAAAATTAAAGTTCTATTTTCCGGATTATAAAACATACAAACATTTTAAAATTATTGCTATGTGTAATAATATTACACCAAAATATTTAAATATAAACGTTGTATATACGTATTTGTTTTATGTTACAAAAATTTTCTAGGTAATGGACTTTTAAAAACATCATTAAATATGTTTCATTTATATTTTAATTTGTACCTACTATTTTTATAGATATAAATATACAATAAAATATTCCTAGTCTAAGCTATTTACATGTATAAATATACGTGAATTATGTCATATTGTTGATTATTTTAACATGATACAAATTTGTAGTTAATAGTTATAAAAAAATAATAATTCAATAAATCAATACTTACTAAGGATTTTCTCTTAGTTCGTTCTTGTAGTATCCAGAATGGATCTCATCTTTAGATCCTATAGAAAAGAAAAAAAAACATTTTATTTTCTATCTGTTTTTTATATTTTCAACTAAACAATAATAACAAATTTATTATTATTTCATACAATGAAAAATATACATAAAATATGAAATGGAATTTCCTTTTACCTTAAAATAATATTCAAATATACCCTTTTTGCTTTATTTATCTTGTAATATATTGTTTCATAATTGTAAATATCTTTAATCAATAGTTTTTAGTTTTAAACATTCTACATTTTTTTTTAAAATATAAGTACCTATACTATGAGTAATTTTTGTAATTAAAATTACATTTTACTATATTGGTTAAATGGATGTTAATTTTACCGTATTTTTATTACAACTCATATTTTTACGTATAAAAATTAACTATTTATGTATATAAACTTTACATTTTATGTACGATATGTTGAATACATTTTAATATTTCAAATTGATAGGTAATCACTAATTAGTTAAATTTTTTTAAGTATGAAATGATAATTTTTTTTGTTGGTCATAGTTAGGGTGCGGATTCATATGTATTTAAAACTCAAAAATGTGTACATTTAATTAAAAATATAATATATATAAAAAAAAAATAATACTGTAATTATAATTATGTATTAATATATAACTGTTTATATTACTATTTAGTTAATATTAGAATCCTCGTTGTCAGCAAAACAATGTGCAACTATGTATTTTTTTAAGTTTTCTTATGTAAATCAACGTTGATTGGGGCGCAAAATATTCTTGTAGCAACTAAAGGACTTTTCCATGTCTATGGAAGTTATAGATGCAAATTTAACAAATAATAACTTGGTCATTAATATATATTAGACCTGACTTAAATACATATATAGAACATAAAAGCATGTGGTGCATAGATTTGATAGTCAAGCAACGTACAACTAGCGTAGTATATTTTTAATTGGATTTACAGACTTTTTACGTGACTTTTTCAATATAGGGAAATATTTAACAAAATATATAATATAAGTAAATTATGTTAAAATATGTAAAAATATGTAGTATCAACGATAACTTAAAGCATTCAGATGGTCCTGAAACGTATTTCTATAGAGGAATTGTTCGATTATCATCAATCATCACAAATTTATATATACATATAAATCCGCACTCTAATTATAGTACATTTCGGCTAAAACAACCATTATATCTATAAAAAATATTTTCTTAGCCTAAGTTTTTATTATGTTTCAATAAGTTTGGTTTTTGAAAAATAATAGGTTTTGGTTAGTTTCTGGGTTTGGTCTTGTAGGCTTCATCTATAAGGAGTTGGGTATATTATTTTCTTAAAGTTCTTTTGAGTATTTGCGAAAATCTGTTAAAAATCTTTAATTGTCATTCTGACTCCACAGGTTTCACATATGGGTAGGACATCTTTGGGTATTAGAAAATCGTGTGTTATTCAGCTAGTATATCTAATATATATTCATTTTAGAGTAGTATTTTCTTTCCTTCTTAATTTGGGGTTGTGCCATGTATTGAGTTTTTAATTTCTCTTAGTGTGGATTGAATTTGGTACCAATTGTTTAACCATTTTTTCATAATAGTGCTATGAATCTTATTTATTTATGTTTGAAAAAGTTTTAGTCTTTATAAGATAGATTTTTAATTATAATTTAAAAAAAATTGTATCACCATTAAATATAAATTGCAATAAAATTGATTTTCAAAAATATGAATCACAAATTTACACTTACGGTCTACTAATAATATATTAACTTTAATTGCACTATATATTTCATAAAATTTAAATAGGAATCCTCCGATATGTGATATAGTTTTTTAATCATTTTTATTTTTAACAATTTATTAGAATGTAGAAAATAGTACCAAATGAGTAACAGAAATGATTTAAATTCTGAAAACTAAGTTTATTTAAATGTAAATCATGAGTCGGTTATCTTGAAGAAATTATTGATAGATAAAAGATAACAGAAAACCTGTAAGGCACCCGGTAAATATGACAAATTGGTTTGTAGAAAAATTATTAGTTTTTAACAAAGTATTGTTGTAATATTTAAAAACCAATCTGACATAGATAAAAAGAGAAAAATAAGAATACGTAGATAGGGAAGGGTATGCAAGTGAGAGATATAATGATAAAGGAAGAGGGTGCAAGAGAGAGAAAGAGAGAGAGAGAGAGAGAACGAGAAAAAGTATTAAAGAGCAAAAGAGACCGTGGGAGAGTAAAAAAAAAATAAATAAATATAAAAGTTTTTGCTGGATAAGACCAAATCCAAAGGTCAGTTAACAATATATGGAAAACCTCGAAAATATAAGAAATTTTCTATAATTTATATGCTTTTGTTTGCAAGACGAAAAATTATAATAATGTAACTTAAATAAAAAATAATGTAACTATAATAATGTAACTTTTGTCGTATTTCGCGTACGTGCTTCGACTCGTTTAGTTTATGTGTACAACAAATCGCACAATCAACACATTAAACACACATTTTTTCATGTATTTAATGATTTTTTAATGGATTTGAAATACTAATAGCATAATATGTAAACATTAGTAGACTTAAAATTTGTACTACTGCGTAACATTGTAACCTATGTATTGTTTAAAAATGTTGTTGAAAAAAAAAATTTTCATACTTTGCAACGTGAGTTATACAAGATAATCTAGTTTAGTATGCAGGCACACCCATATTATTTCTAAAAGTATTGACTTTTTTTGAAAATATTATTTTTATATAATTATTGTCATTGTAAAACAAAATTTTTTGAAGTAAAACTCCACTAATCTAATTTTTATATAGGTGCGATTTTATATAAATCGAAATTCAGTTTTATGCATAAAACATTTCACTCCTGAATACGCAATTGAAACTAGATGTTGTCATTCAAAAAAGAGTAAATTTTTTTTAATTATTATTAAAATAAAATATTTTTTAGAAGTTTATCATAAATGTATCATTTCATATATTACCACACCTACATTATAGAACGCGCATCATGAGACGCATAATATGTATACACATTTTTGTATTGAGTACAATATACGAGTACCATATATTATGTAAAATTGCCATTTTCAAATTCGAACGTATTCTAATACATATTTATATGGTGTGATATAATATACTTTAGTTTATGTTATAAGTTATAAAATAATATAACATTCTTTGTAATATATATACATATAGGATATATTGTTATATGAGTGTGCATTAATTAATTTTCTTTAATATTTGATGAAATATATCAAATTAGATATAAATACTCACTGAGCTTTTTTTTCAAGAATTTACGTAATATTTGTTTAAATTAATTGTACAATAAAGATAATTTTAAGCTTTTTATTTTATATTAGTAGTTAAATAGCCCAGGCTTAAAAGTAATCAAAAAAAAAAAAAAAAATACTCAGAAGACAACTTTTTTAAATATTAAGTAATTCAACTGTATACGTTAATTTCTATGGGATTGTCACCCCAATGCGTTAATAGTGCACTCTTAAAATAAAGTCGTACCTATTAAAAATTGATGTTGAATGTTTAAAGTAAGATAAATACTCAATAGTTAATACAGATTTACAATTCAAATTCATCCATTGCTTTGAACAATTATAAATTTGTTGAAACGGAGTACTGTTTTCCATTATGTGCTGAATGTCGATGCTCTATTGATTTAACCACATATACAATAAACAAATAAGCTGACGAAATCAGCTGACGAAATCTCAATAGGTAATGATCCAAAAATAATCTGCCGAAGTTAATACAATACTGTGAAGCTTACTATTATTGTATTTGGGACAAACATTGTAAAAGTAACTAGTTAAATATGTGACAATTCCCTACACTGTTGACCCGTACAATAAACTTAAATTAGCAAGTTGGTATAGAAGTTAGGTAATATCTCTTAAAAGAGACTGATCATCAAGTTATTGTGATGATATTATGCCTTGGCGATTGGAGTACAAGGATTTGAATGTCGATATGCGTTTATTTGGTAAATCCGATCATTTTACGAGGTTTTGTCTATGGCAAGTGACGTCACTGCTGAAGAATTATCAAATGCAGCACCGAAGGTATTTTGGAAGATTGCTGAATTGATTTTAATGAGAGCTTTTGTAGCTATGTTGAAAGTGTGCTATATTTTTGTGGATGAGAGTTTTTTTAGCAATACCGGAGGTTTCATTTTTTAGTAATTGGTATTCTGTAGGTATTCGGTTCTTAATTTTTTTTTAGTCTTATAAGCTGAAGTGTTTTGGTTGAAGGAATTTGAATAAATAGTTTTCGAAGTAAACTATTTTCATATGTTACCGATTATGGGTTATCGACTAACGGTGGTTATTGGTTTGAATGAACACTAGTAGGCAGTAACTATAATGATAGTCAGAGCTTACGATGAGAATCCTCTCATTCGCTGGTCGTTTTCTTTTGTGGCATTTTGCTTTATCATTTCAAATGAATTTTCTTTTCCAATATTATTTGAAATTAGTTGTAAGTTTTTCCTGTAATGTGTTCGACTTTTAAGGTAAAATATAGGTGCAATATAGTTGTTAAAGTAGACAGCCTTCTACTAAATTTAAATTATCTTATACTTCAACGATCCTGAAAATAACCGTTTTCATTGTGTATATAGTTATATCCATAACAATAATATGTGTGAAAACTTGATAGAGTTATTAAGAAATGATTTTTTTCTGAAAGGATACTAACCCACAATTTATTTCAAAAATATAATATTAGTTTTAAAATTTGATTGTTGAAAGTATTTAAATTGATTTTTAAAATATTACAATGACATGGTACGCAACGGTCGCCAGTACAAAGTACAGGCACCGCAGCGACCTGTTTACACTGTCACCACCATTACCACCACAATAAAGACACGATATCGTCAACTCTCCAACCAACACCGTAAAGGCCAAGGCGGGACGAGAAGATAAATAAGATAAGTCGCACCAGACGAACATCGGCCGCCGGCGATTACTCTTTGGTGTCACGACTGTCGCAAGTCTAAATAT